AAAACCTGAACTAAAGAAATGACCAACATTTCAGCATGGAAAGCTCGTTTCAGTTGTTTACTTAAACCACCCGAATATTCTGGTGGCACATTCACCTATAACCAGTGGGCTTCAGGGTCAATTGCAATCTCTGATCAAGAGTCGATTACTCACTGAGTGGACTAACAAACATTTAAGACACATCGCATCTATTACTTAATCGTTATTGCGGACCTTTGTTTTGTTTGAGTCGCTCCGGATCACAGGACCTGTTGAAAGGCGAAGAAAATAATCTAAAATGATTTCATCCGATTTAACCGGGCTAAAAATTCCTAACAACCCGAGCGTGGGTTATATTCCACGATCGTCCCTATGGAGGTAGTCCTGAAAAGTCCGTAAAACAACGCAGTCACAGTTAAGAGAGCTTCTTCTTGGCTGAATGTGTGGAAAACGTGGTTTGAAACAGCGAAAACTATTGACAACGGAATCGTGAAAAAAGGAGCCAGCGAGCTAAACAAATCACTTGAAAGTTTCGAAAACCAAGAATGGTTAAGAATATGAGTTAGATAGCCTAAGAGGGATGATAGCCACACTCGACAGGTTATTAGACGTACAAGAATACGAGTGGTACATAACAAGAGCAGAAGAGTTCCACTCTTCCCGGAAATTCTCCAATAGAGAAAAGAGCTAAGCAGCTTCGCCAATGCGGTATAGGCAAACGTCCGCATAAAGCGTCAAGTTTTACTGAAGAGGAAGAAGAGGTGCTATGGAAGGCAAAAATTTAGGTTCTAAAACTCCACACGCTCTTATTTCTTCTATGTGGTAGCTTTAAATGTTATCTTCTGGTTCCCGTTTCATGGCCGTAAAGAGCATCATGGAATGAAATAGATTATTTAACTATGAAAAAAATGACAAAGCGTGGAGTTCGTGTCGTTTACAGGAGGTCCAGAAAAGACGAGACAGGGCGGGCTTTAAAGTAAGAACATAGACTTCCAGCCACGGTTGTTTACAGTATCAGTTGGTGGAAAAAGGTTTCCGGTAACTCTCTTTAAGCGGTTTGTCGAGTTAAGACCACTAAATATGCAATGGTCCGATCCTTTCTACCTCAGTATCTTTGAATGAGTGTGTCTGCTTTAAAAGCCAACCATTGAGCGTAAATACAGCGGTTATGCAACATGATATGAAAACAATTGTGGTGGGTAGTAGCCTTAAAGAAAGGGTGGAAAAGGTCACGAATCACAGTGCAGGAGCTGGCCCATTATGAGCAGCATCGAAGGAAAACCAATTTCTGCTTTCAAATTTGGGTTTGAAGTGTCTGAATTTCTCCAGGGATGCAGCCACTTTATCTATGATGAGGTATCAAGAAGAACAGATCATGATGAAGACACTAAAAAATCGACTAAAAGTTTCTCTCATGGTTGGCCGCTCAAAGCGCGCACCTAATGTTTGAAAGCGACGGTCGAGTTCTGATGAACGCTAAGCTTTTATAGTCGAGGGTGAATCCGATAGACCAGTTCAAGTCACTTTGGCTGACTACTGCACTATGAATTTTCTGCAGAACGTTTTTTAATGATTCAAAATCAGTCTGCAAACGTTTCCAAGCTTACAGCCGACAGTCTTGATAAAGTTTGAATTTAACAAAGGCTGTAATCTGTTTCGGCCAATCATTTTGATGCATTTAAATAAAATAGCAGGGTGCGGTGTCAAAATTTCACTTATTTTGATCTTCTTTTTTCCTTCTTTCTTATGTATTATATCACTCATTAATTTTTCATACTAAAAATTGCACTAATCCAAGGGGCTTTTGTTCGTCTGAAAAATCTATTCGGGTTTACTTAAACGCCTTTTTAAACAAACTTCAATGTAAAGTCATGTGATTACCCATACAAACTATAATGCAATAAGTACATTTTGCTCAATTTAAAATATTTTCTTGTTCCCCCAATATAGGCGGTTGAACGGCAATCAGCTAGAAAAGCTATCACGCGAAATATTTCTTGAATTGTCTGCCTTAGAAGAATTGTAAGTAAAATTTTTTTAAAAAATTTTTTTAAAATATCATTATTCAGTACACTGCGTTTGTATGAGACCAACTGTTATCGACTAATTCAAAACATTGCACTGATTTATTGACTATATCTATCAAGCTTCGCAAATTTGGAAAAAAAAATCACTGAACATCTAATGATGATGACTGGTCACTTTTCAGCGATAAAAGTGGATTCTGTCAATTATCAGGGAGTGGACTTGCCCCGATTATACTCGTTGGAAAGTTGCTCATCGGATCGCTAAAAAAATTCTGAAAAAAAATTGCTAAAAAAATTCAGAAAGGTTACCAATTGAATTTTAAAAGTTGCCACCTTAATTTCTCGATACTCCTCATCTATAAACGTTCATTGAAAGCTTTATTTTTCGTTCTTCATTATAAATGCTAACATAGATCAAGAAAAGTAGTTTGAAACTTAGCTTTAAAGAGTAAGTTGCAAATATGGGCCCAATTTATATAAAGTCTTACGTTTAAAGGAACAAAACACATTGTTCATTAGACGCTTTGCCGAACGATATGAGGGAATTGAATGAAATTAGCTCTACTGATTGCATTCTCAGAGTCTAAACCATAAAACTCTTAAAGTTTTCAATGAAATCGTTTGTTTTTTCATGCTTCATATGTGTTGTAAACCTATCTTGTGCATAAAAACTGCTCAGAAAGGCACAAATTATTGCTCCTAACCTCAAAAGGTGCTCAAAAGTTGCCAAGCGCGATCGGCACAGGTCTATCAG